CCTTTCACTCTCCCAGCCCAAGCTTTTATTAAAGATATGGACAAAGGACACGCAAAGAGCATGCAATTGTGTTTTTGTTGATGCAAATGAATACATTACTGCCAGAACAACTTTTTCTAGTTAGTAGGAAAATGCACATAGAGAACAGGAGTGAATTCTGGGAAGAATAGCACGGATACGCCTATCTCCTGCATCCCCAGCACCAGAGGGCCTCAAGTCCGGCTCCTAGAGTCAGCTCGTGACTTGAAGTGACGGATTGCAGAACAGACCCCTCCAATATGCATCTTTGACACAGAATAATGGTGAGTGCAGCCTATTGAGAAAAGTCAGATGAAGAAAAGTTCTCTGCGCTCTTCCTGCTGCCGAATTGTGGAAATACATTTGTATGATGTCATCATCTCTTCTTATCAGAAGGACAGAAGTTATCACCAGAGACCTTCTGACCCTCCTCAGCCCAGAGACCACACCAGGGGCAGACACAGAACACACCTGTTGACCCTGACCCTGGTCTGCCGTTCTCACCACAGAGGCGCCTTCCCGTAGCTCCCCACCTACAAAGAAGGTCATTTTCCTTTGTCTTGTCAGTGCATTAAAAAAAAATTCTATTCTTTACTGAAAATTCCCTCAGTCCAAGCTGTAACCACCCCTCTGAGCTTTTCCTCCAGGTCTCCATGTCCATGCAGGAGGCACCTGTGTTTGGGAAAAGTCCCCACTTTCTCCTTTGCGCGCCCACGACCACACACACTTCATGGCTGACACCAGATGTGGGGGCTTTTTCCCCATCCGTTTGGGTGTCTTGGAGGCAAGTCAGTGGACACAACTGAAGTGAGAGGCCCCACCTCCCAGCTCTAGAAACTCTCTGAGTCTCCCCAAGCCCATGTTTGCCTCTAGGTGTCCTGCAGGCCTGTCTCAGCCCAGTGTGGCCTTCCAGCCCAGGGCAGGCTCCCTCCTCTGTGCACATCAGTAGGAAGTACTGTGCTCACAGGAAATTATGTGCCATTCTACACTTCGATTATGAACAACATCAATTGATGGTTAAAAACAATTAGAAGTCTTTGAAAACCATCATGAAAAATATAGCATATGGATAACTAGAAATGGGATGGCTCTCCCTGCACATTTTGTTGCTTTTACTTTAAGGGAAAGTAAACACACATTGTCCCTCAAAGCTTGTCCCTTCAAAGTTGCCCCCTACAGCCTCCAGCCACCCTGGGTGCCCCCACACAGCCCTTGTGTTCTGGTGCCTGTGACAGACCAGCTCCCTTGCACAGACCCAGATCCCTGCACCTGGTAGGCCATTCACCACCCTCACCTAGAGTTGCTGGAGGCAGCTCCCCGAGGATGTCCTGAGTGTCTCCAGGGAGGCTTCTCTGCTCCTTTGACAGGTGAAAGCTCAGAAAATTGCTGACTCTAAAGGAAACTGCAGGTGATCATTTGGGGACTGCAGGTGTGACTACCTGGAAGAAAAAAGAGGTGAGGTGAGTGGAGAGACCCCCAAGGTGCTTTTGGGAGTGGGGAATGGCAAGAAGACTCCAAACTGGGGGCCAGGCTGATGCTGAGCCAGAGAACCCTCTATCCCTCCAGCCTGTGGCCTTGGTCTGCAGTCACTGGCTCTCCTCTGACAGCTGTCTAACGGGAACATGCAAACAGTCATGTCACTCAAACCTGCAGAGTCACAGTCAGATTCAGAACAGTGAACACGTCATTATTGGATCAGATTTCTCGGAAATAAAAGGGGAGCATGAGACTGAAGGAAGAATGAGCCGACCCCCTCAGTGCAGCCATGCTCTGACATTGGGTTCATTGAGATGCCTGGATTAGTAGGTTTCTAGTTTTCACCCAATTTGAACATATTTGGCTGTTATATTTTCAGTCCTGCCTGCCTCTTGCCCAAGCTTCCTCTGCTTCGCCAAGGCAGATGCCCAGCTCATTCATGTCCACTCTTTGTGATTTCCCTCTGTCTCTGGATTTTATTTTCTATAATTTTTAGTCCTGTGCCTTCCAGTTCCTAATTGTTTCTTTTGCAGTGTCTCATCAGTCACTGATCCCATCATGTACCTTTCTGTCATATGCCCTAGTTTATTTTTTTTCATAGAAGTTTAATTTGGGTTTTTAAAATCCTCTTAGTGCCTCCTTGGTGGCTTAGGTATAAAGTCTCAATGTTACCACCATGAAGATCCACCTTGATGTTTTGAGTACGATCCTCAGGGAGTTAACCCCCATGGCACAGCAGATCCTGTCTTGCCTTCTGCTCCTCTCTGCGGTATATTCAGCAAACCCGGCTGTTCTACTCCCCACTCTGTCTCTGGTGCATTCTCTCACCGCAGTACCTCTGGCTTACACCCAGTTCTTCTAAACAAATATAACTAAGTAAAATATTTGGGAAGAAAACCCTCTTGTATGTGACTTGTGAACATGGAATGCAGGTATAAAACTGCCTAAAAGTCCTTTTCTTTTTTTTTTTTTTTTTAAGATTTATTTATTTATCTATAAAGCACTGGGTACAGTCAGAAACGTGGGAGGGTGAGAAAATTCACCAGAGCCAGAGCAGGGAGCAGAACAGGCAGACTGATGAAGTACACTGCTGAGGGGAGCAGTGGACAGCAGGAGAGGTCTGCACGCCATGTAACCATGTGGGACCCTCGCCTGGAGGCCGGGGATCCAACCAGTGCTGCAGAGGCTGTGGGCAGTTTCGCAACCCAGAGCTCAACCGCTGTGCCACCGGGAGGCCCATAAAAGTCCTTTTCTAATTCCAGTAGGTGCATCAGTCCTGGTAAACTTTGATTAATTCCTCCCTTTCTTTATTATGACTCACTCCTGTCCACAGGCAGGGACTTCAGTTTTCAGACTGCTCCTTCCTGCACCTTGTCTTTCAGCTGCCTTCTCCTACTTCTCTGTTCTTCCAGAACTGAGCTCTCAGAGGATGGTGGGAATGTGTGGGGTTGGTTGTCTTTACATGATGCTACCATTCTGAGCACTTGTTTTAGTGAGATGGACATGCCGGCTCTGAGGAAGATACTGGATGGAGATAAAAATAAATTTTTCCATCTTCCAGTGCAGAACCTGATTTATGTCTGATTGGATTTTCTTTAAAACTGGACAAGTGATACCATCCATGTAGGCCTCAGTTTCCTCAATGTAGTATTGGGTCTCTACTTCCAGGTTGTTGTGAGAAGTGCTTAGACACAAAGCCTGAGGCATAGAGGATAAAAAAAGGTTTGGGGGTCTTAATTCATATAAAGATGCAAAGCACTTTCACATGTGTGACCTGCTAATGAGGGTTCCTTGGGCACCATCATTTCATCTTTGTGGATTCCCAGGGAATTTTCTCCCTTCTTTGAGATCCATTTCTCCAGAAACAAATAGAACTTCAGTTTAGAACAGACAGAGGAAAGGATTCCTTCCTGGGTTGGACTTAGCCCAGATTAGAGGTCCTTGTCCCTTGCTGTGTATCCCGGTCACCTGGGAAGATGCCTGATAACACAGTGACCTCAGCCTGGGCCACACATATTCAAAAGGCCGTGAAGAGGCACCAGGCCTCAGAGGGCAGCCATGTAGTGGAGCTTCCACAGGGACATGGAGGATCTCTTTTCCCAGAAGTGGATGGTCACTTCTTTCTCCTTACTCAGGTCCACGTGAGGCTCCCAGGGAGTGGGGTGAATGATTTGACTGCAAGCCCCCCTCACGGAGCACCCCCTATGAACATGTTGTGGGAGCTGCAGACATGCAAGGTAACACCCAGGTCTGGCCTCTATCCTGGGGCCCCTGAGGTGGGGACATTCCTGAGCCACAGGTGAACAGCATGGAGGCAGGGCAGCACCTGGGGCTGTCTTCGACCTCAGAGCCCACTTCCACCTACAGGGAACCCTTAGCAGAGGATGATCCAGCTCTGCACAGCCCATGATTTGACAAGGGCTGTTGCCTGGGAGGATGCAGGAATTTCAGTGACAGCCTGTTCCTGGCATTGGCAGAGACATCATCCTGGAAACTAAAGTTATGAAGGCCGTGGTGCAAGTTGATCTCTGATAAAGATGCTTGTCATGACAGGTTTTTGTCTAAGAACAACCCACCATGCTCTCGGGTGATTCTCTCACCGGATGGTCAGTTATTGAGGAGACGCCCGCAGATGAGAAACAAGAGCACAGAGGCAGGGGCTGCTTAAACAGGGGGGGCTGCGCTTTCCAGTCCCCACAGCACGCAGAGGGAGGAGAACAAGCAAGGGCCCTGCCAGCATCTATGGGAAAACAAAGCTCCAGTGAGTGCCTAAGGGGTGCTTTACCCTCCTGACACCCTCCTGCAACCAATCTGCATGCTGTCTGGCCCCATGCCCTGCCCTGCCGCAGTGACCCTGCCTTTTTGGGCCTGCTCTTCCAGCCCTCATCCTGCAGCCCCTGGAGGCAGGTCTGGAAAAGGGAGAAACCGAGTCTGACTGGGGGGTGAAGAGAAGGGAATGAGGGTGTCCTTGTGGGGTGGGGGTGGGTCTGCCCGGGGAGCAGAGGAGGGGGAGACAGAATCGGGGTCCTGGGGGCCAGGCTGGTGCTGAGCCAGAGAACCCCCCCTCCCCCTGCAGCTTCCTCTGCAGTGACTGTGGTGATGCTGGTGGAAGATGAAAAAGTAGCGTGATGCAAATCACGTGTTCAACCCTCACATTAACAAAAAAAAGTGAACATTTCCCTGTTCCCTCAGATGCTTCTGAGAAACGAGAAGTTGAACTCAGGATGCCCTCTCGCCCTCCAGCACAGCCCTGCTCCGGGATGGGTGTGATGCAGGGGAGTCTCCGGACACGGGGCGGGGCCGGCAACACCAGGAAGTGGTTCAGCCTCAATCTGGGTGCACTTGCACAGCAAGTCTCATCCTCCCCCCCCCGCCCCCCCTGCCCCCCCTGCCCCCCTGCCCCCCCTGCCCCCTACCCTGGCCACACCCCGCCCACCCCACTCCATACTCCCTCAGCCCCCACCTTCCGGCCTGAGTCGCCTTTCCCAGCAGGCCCTGCGGGGACTTCCGGGTGGCCACAGTGCTCTAGAAGCCGCTTTGGATGCCAGGTACATTACATGTGGGCGGGAGGGAGAGTTTTGGACCAGGTGTTGGCCAGAGCCAGCTCCCTCCCCTCCCCTCCCCCTCCCTCCCCTCCCTCCCCCTCCTATCCTGCCTTCCCTCTCCCCTCCCCTTCTCTCCCCTCACTCTCTCCCTTACCCTCCTCTTCCCCCTCCCCTTCCCCCTTCCCTCTCCCTGCCTCTCCCCCCACTCCCAGGCCCCCTCTGCTCTCTCCCCCACCCCCTTCCCCCTCTGCCATCTGCTCTCCCTCCTGCCCTTCCCCTCGCTCTCCCTCCCTTTCCCTCCCCCCTCGGCTCTCTTCCCCTCCCCCTCCACCCCTCCCCCTTCTCTAACTACTTCTGTAAATAAAACTTCTGCCCCTTCATTCTCTAGGTGACTCAGCTTTGGGCGGGGCGGACCCACCCCCTGGTCACTCTTTCTCCTGGGGGCGCCCTGGGTCGTTTCAGGGAAAGCTTCAAAATGTTTCCAGCTATTTCTCCTATGTTCTTTCTCCTCGTGTTCTTTGTGCTCTTTCCCCTGTTCGTCCCCCTTTACACAAGGCCGGTGGCGCAGCTCACGGATACCCTGGGCATTGTTTTGTTGTTATTCTCTTTCGGTTTCATTGTCTAGAGTTTCTGTTGTGCCTTCTACTTCGTTTTTGTTTTTTGATTAAAAAAAAAATTTTTAAGGGCCTCCCCGGTGACGCAGCGGTTGAGCGCTGGTTGCGAAGCTGCCCGCAGCCTCTGCGGCGCCGGTTCGATCCCCGGCTGCTCCCCGGCCACAGGAGGAGGGTCCCACATGGCGCGCGGACCTCTCCTGCCGCCCGCTGCTCCCCTCAGCAGTGTACTTCGGTCCTTCTGCCTGCTCTGCTCCCTGCTCTGGCTCTGGTTTATTCTCTCACCCTCCCGCGCTTCTGACTGTACCCAGTGCATGTATAAACAAACAAAGAAACAAATAAATAAATAAAACATGCCTCTATAAAAAAATTATTTAAACTTTTCTTTATGCATACAAGAACTGGGGTACTGACTAGAGGTGGGGGGGTGGTGAGAATATTCACCAGAGACAGAGCGGGGAACAGAACCGGCGGATCTGCTGAAATACACTGCTGAGGGGAGCAGCAGGAGAGACAGGAGAAGTCTGCTGTGCCATGTGGGTATCTCCCTGTCCAGCCTGGGGATCAAACTCACGCTGCAGTGGCTATGGATAGCTTCATAGTGCTGTGCTTAACCCCTTCATAGTGCTGTGCTTAACCAGGCAGGCCCACTTTCTACTTCTTAATTTGTTTTCTCAAAAGGTAAACTTAATCATTAATCCCACTCATTGTACCTTTACAGTATATGCCAGACTTACCTTTTCTAGGGTTTTATGTTTATTTTAAAGATTTGTTTATTTATGCATACAAGAACTGGGGTATGGGCCAGAGGTGTGGGGGGTGAGAGGATCCACCAGAGACAGAGTGGGGAGCAGGAAAGGCAGATCAACTGAAATTCACTGCTGAGGGAAGCAGGGGGCGAGTCAGGAGAGGTCTGCTGTGCCATGTGGGTAGCTCCCTGGCCAGCTGGGGCTCGAACTCCTTCTACAGTGTCTGTGGACAGCCTTGTGTCTTAACCCCTTGCACTACCAGGGGTCCCTCTAGGGTTTTTAAAATTAATTTTAGGTGTCTGTGTAAATTTGGATTACGAAATGCAGTTAAATAACACCTAAAGGTTCTTTTTTCTGTTTATAACAACTGTATCAATCCAGATAAATTTTGATTGATTGATTAATTGATTTTTCTTTTTATTATGAGTCAGTCTCTTGTTTCTTTGCATATGTGGATACTTTGAGGACCTAAATTTTGTGTCAAGATGTATTTTGTGGAACATAAAATCTACTTCTACAAAGTGTACCAGTGTAAAGTTATAGTGTATTCACAAATCTGTACAACAATTACCACTATTTAAATTTCAAAACATTTTCATCCCCTCACACACAGGCCTCATATCCTAAACTCCCCTCCCCTACTTTCATACTCCCACCAGGACTCACCTATCTTCTCTCTTTCTGAATTTGCCTGTTTTAGGCAGTTAACACGTGACATGTGTCTGGCTTCTGTCCATTAATACAGTGTTCTCAGGACTCATCAATGTTGGTGCATTAATTGGTATTTTGTTGGCTTCTATGAATGAATATAGTCCTATAGATTTGAAATTGCAATATGTTAATCCTACACGGTTCATCTTCGCTGTGTGAATTTCACACATTGTCTGTGCCAGTTCATCACTGGATGGACATTTGGGTTTCCACTTTGGGGCTAATTTGAGTAATGCCACTGTGAACAGTGATGTACAAGGTTTTGTGGAGTATGTTTCCATTTTGGAATCTATACTTAGGAGATCGTTTCGCAGCATTTTGGTGAAGATCAAGTGTGGAATATATACTTAGGAGTAGAACTGCTGTGTCATGTGGTAACTCTTCAACTTCTAAAGGAACTGTCTGTTTCCCAAAGAAGCTGCACCATTTTATATCTCCACTAGCCACATATGTGTTTCCCATTTTTTCTACTTGTCATTGTGGGTATTTTGAAGCTTACCTGTCCTATGACTGTAAAGTGCTGTCCCGTTGTGGTTTTGGTTTGCATTTTTCTTTTTTTTTTTTTTTTTTTTTTTTTTAATTTTCTAGAGGCATGTCTTATTTATTTATTTATTTATTATTTGTTTGTTTGTTTGGTTTATACATGCACTGGGTACAGTCAGAAGCATGGGAGGGTGAGAGAATTCACCAGAGCCAGAGCGGGGAGCAGAGCAGGCAGAAGGACCGAAGTACACTGCTGAGGGGAGCAGCGGGTGGCAGGAGAGGTCTGCGCGCCATGTGGGACCCTCCTCCGGTGGCCGGGGAGCAGCCGGGGATCGAACCGGCTGCAGAGGCTGCAGTCAGCTTCGCAACCCAGCGCTCAACCGCTGCGCCACTGGGGAGGCCCTGGTTTGCATTTTTCTAATCACTGATGATGTGAGCCTCTTTCCACACATTTATTGTCCATTTTATATCTTTTGGGGATAATGTCTATTCAGATCCATGGCCTGTCTTAAGTTGGGTTATTTGTGTCTATTGTTGGTTTGTAGGAACTCACTATATACTAGTGATAATTCTAGGTGTGTCCCTTATCAGATACATGATTTTCAAAAATTGTCTGTCATTCTCTGAGTTCTTTTCACATTCCTGCCAGAGTACTGTAAGTTCAAGAATCTGCTGTCCTCCCCATCTATCTTTTTTTTTTTTTTCATTGTTGGTCTTTGATGTCATCCATTAACTAGTCCATGGTAAGAAACACGCATTTGTCCCTGAAGTTTTCTTGCAAAAGCTTTTAATCATTTCAGTTTTTACATTTAGAACTTTATACATTTTGATTAAGTTTTGTATGTGATTTGAGGCAGGCGTTCAAATGCATTCTTTTGTTGTGGGAATGTACTTTCCGCACAATCATTTGATAGGATGATTCTTCCTTGCACATTGGATTGTCATGACAACTGTCAAAATTAATTGAGGATAAATGTATGGGTTTATTTTTAGACAATTGTATTTCATTGATCTATATGTCTATCATTATGCTAATACTTTTAATAGTCTTTTTTTTAACGATTTATTTATGCATACAAGAATGGGCTTATAGGCCAGAGGTGCAGGGGTTGAGAGGATTCACCAGAGACAGAGTGGGGAACAGAACAGACAGCCTGAAGAAATACACTGCTGAGGGAGCAGCGGGCGAGACAAGAGAGGTCTTCTGTGCCATGTGGGTTGCTCCCTGGCCGGGGATCAAACTCCTGCTGCAGTGGTTTCAAACAGCTTCAGAGTTTGTATCCTAACCCCTTGCTCAGCAGGGAGCCTTAATAGTCTTGAACATTGTAGTCATATACATTTGCAATCGCAAGATGTGACTCCTGCAAGGTTGATCTTTATTAAGATTATTCCGGCTCTCTTGGATTCCTTGATTTTCCAGTGAATTTTAGGATGAATTGACTGATGTTACAAAGACGAAAACAAAATGAAACGTCAAAGTAACAACAACAGCGAAAAAGAACCACAGCTTGCATTTATAGGGAGTGCCCTGAATCTGTGTGACTCTCAGGGAAGCATGGTTCATAGTATGAATCCGCAGTGTATGAACATGGAATGTCTTCTCATGCATTTGGTCAATTTCATTTATTTGAAAGATGTTTAGTTTACAGCCCACTGGATGTTCATTTAAATCTCTACATTTTGTGACAGAAGATTCTTGCTCACTATGTAGTCACATTTTTCTATTGCTACAAATGAAGGGCATTATTTCTACTGTGTCCCACATCCTCTTGGGACAAGCTGAGTACCAAACACACAGACAAAGCCACAAGATCCCTCTTAATGTCCAGACTCTGACCCCCATGTTATTTTTATTTCTGAGTTTTACAGTCAAAGTTAACTTCTTCATTGTAACTACCAGAAATCGCAGTGTAGAGGGGCTTGCCATGAATTTGGGACTGTGCTGAGTGGTGAAGGGAGTGACCAAATCCAGGCCAACATTTTTAAAAGAACTGCTAACATGCCTCTGTGTGTGTGTGTGTGTGTGTGTGTGTGTGTGTGTGTTTTATGCGAGGCAGTAAGGGTGGCCATGGATCTGAAAGTGGTCAGAACTTGCTTTTAATGGTTTCCCCTTCTCGCTCTCGCTTTCACAGACCACATGCCCCACCTCAGAAGATTCATAAGGTGAGTGGAGGCCCACCACTGTACCCTTGATTTTCTGATGTTGAACCATTCTTGTGTCCCTGGAATAAATGCTACTTGGTCGTGGTGAATTATCTTATGGATACATTGTTGGATTCTATTAGCTAAAATTTTATTGAGGAGTTTTGCGTCAGTGTTCATTAGAGAGATTGGCCTGTAGTTTTCTTTTTTTGTGTTGTCCTTGTTTGGTTTTGGTATTAGTATAATTTCGGCTTCATAGAACAACAGGGAGCTTCTGTGCAGTAGTGCAGTGCTCCTTGGCAGCAAGAGAAGGCCAATACATCCTGGGGCAGGAGGCCTGGGGCGGGAGATTAACCTGCCAAGGATCAAAGTCTCTAGGAAAAATTCTCTATGGAGGCAGTGGGTCATCCTGATTTTTTTTTAATTATTTTATATTATTTTTTTAATTTTATATATTTTTACATCATTTTTCATTTTTGTACAATGTATGCATTTTGTCATGGTTATAGTCCCATACAATTCCCACCACTCCTTGTTTTCACCCTACTCCCACATTCCCCCTCCCCCCCATTGTGTCTCTGGTTTATAGTTGCTTGTTGATTTTGATTTCTACTTTATTATAATTAGTCTTTTTCCTGGTCCCTTATTTAGGTTTTCCTGCTATGAGTGAGACCATCCAGTGTTTTTCTTTTTCTTTCTGGCTTATTTTGCTGAGCATGATCCCTTCTGGCTCCATCCATGTTGCTGCAAATGGCATGAGTTTATCTTTTTTGATTTCTGAGTAATATTCCATTGTATATATGTACCTCATCTTGATCCAGTCATCTATTTGGGGCATTTGGATTGTTTCCATAGCTTACCTATTGTAAATAGTGCTGCTATTGTTATAGGGCAGCCCTGATACAAAACGGGTTGCCTGACTGTGGGTCCTCACCCACGTGCTTAAAAGGACTTATCAATGCTCTACTGCAGGCACACACGAAAGGTTAATAAAAGGTTTATTTACAAGGGAAGGGCAAATGAGGAAATGTACAGCTCAGGGAGAAAAATGGGAGACAAAGTTTTAAATGCGTCCTACCCAATCCGCCAATCTGGGATCCCAAATGGCACTCTGAGAGCTGGCCGCAAGCCAGGAGCCATGAAGCCAGGAGGCAAGCGACAGAGCGAGAGACCCCAAGGCCCATGTGTTTGGTTTTTATACCTAACCTGGCTGCTTAACTCCACCCTCAGGTCCCAGCTACCTTCCCTTTGGTGGTGACGGGATTTGTTTTTCCCAATGTCCTGATGACTTTGGTCTGGAGTAGGGGTGGAGTCCACAAAGCCTGTATGGGATTAGCTCAGAATATCCTTTCCCCCTAACACTATAAACATAGGGGTGCAGGTGCCCTTTTGAATTAATGTTTCTGTGTCCTTTGAGTGAATACCTAGGAGTGGAATTGCTGGATCATATGGAAGCTCTATCTTTAGTAGGTTGAGCTCTATCTTTAGTAGTAGTGATTGGACCAGTTTGCACTCCCACCAGCAGTGCAGGAGAGTTCCTTTTTCTCCACAACCTCGACAACATTTGTTGTTGCTAGCTTTTTTAATATGTGCCATTCTCACTGGTGTAAGATGGTATCTCACTGTAGTTTTGATTTGTATTTCCCTGATTATAAGTGATGTTGAACATTTTTTCATATGCTTGTTGGCCATTTGCATTTCCTCTTTAGAGAAGTTTCTTTTTATCTCTTCTGCCCATTTTTTGACTGGATTATTTACTTTGTTTTTGTTGTGTCTCATCAGTTCTCTGTAAATTTTTGTGATCAGTCCTTTATCATTAGTGTTGTGTGCAAAAATTTTCTCCCAGTTGGTGGGGTGTCTCTTTGTTTTGGTTACTGTCTCTTTTGTTATACAAAAGCTCTTTAATTTGATGTCTCAGCTGTTTATCTTTGCCTTCACTATCACTGCTTTGGGTGATGTGTCTGTAAAGATGTCTTTGATGTGCATATCACGTAGTGTTTCGCCTATATTTCATTCTATATATTTTATGGTTTCAAGTCTTATGTCTAGTTGTTTAGTCCATTTTGAGTTGGTTTTTGTGCATTTGTGTGTGGTAGTAGTCAAGCTTCATTCTTTTGCATGTAATGACCCAGTTTTCCCAGCACCATTTATTGAATAAAATTTCTTTGCTCCATTGCATATTCTTTGCTCCTTTGTCAAAGATTAGTTGACCATAAATCTGTGGGTTTATTTCTGTATTTTCTATTCAGTTTCATTGGTTCGTGTGTCTGTTCTTGTTCCAATACCTTTCAGTTTTGATTATTATGGCTTTGTAGTATAGTGTGAAGTCTGGGAGTGTGATACCTCCATCCCCCCCGTTTATTTTTTTCAGGAGAGCTTTGTCTATTCGGGTTATTTGGTGGCTCCATATAAATTTCATCAATATTTGTTCTATTTCTTGGAAGAACGTCATTGAAATTTTTTATTGGAATAGCATTGAATCTGCAAATTGTTTTTGGTAGGATGGCCATTTTGATAATGTTAATTCTTCCAATCCATGATCAGGGGATGTCTTTCCATTTCTTTGTGACTTCTATTTCTTTTAACAGTATTTTATAGTTTTGTTTGTATAGGTTATTTACCTCTTTTGTTAGGTTTATTCCCAAGTGTTTGATTTTTTTTTTGTTTCAATAATAAAATGGATGGTTTTCTTGGTTTCTTCTTCAGATTTGTTTGTGTATAGGAAGCCTACTGATTTTAGTGTGTTGATTTTGTATCCTGCAACTTTACTAAACTGATTGATTGATTAGTTTGATTAGTTTTTCTGTGGTGTTTTTGGGGTTCTCTATGTATATTATCATATCATCTGCAAATAGTGATAGTTTAACTTCTTCCTACCCTATTTGAATTCCTTGTACGTCTTTCTCTTGTTTTATTATTCTGGCTAGGACTTCCAGTATTATATTGAAAAGCAGTGGTGAGAGTGGACATCCTTGTCTTGTTCCAGATCTTTATGGAAATGTTATTAATTTTTTTAAAAAAGTGTTCTGTTGAGCCTCCCTGGTGGCACAGCAGTTTGAGCGCAGCACTGTGAAGCTGTCCACAGCCTCTGCAGTGCCAGTTCGATTCCTGGCGGCCAGGGAGATTCCCACATGGTGTGGCAGACCTCTCCTGTCTTGCCCGCTGCTCCCCTCAGCAGTGTATTTTGTCAGTCTGCCTGTTCTGCTCCCTGCTCTGTCTCTGGTGAATTCTCTCACCCTCCTGTGCCTCTGGCCTATACCCCAGCTCTTGTAAAAATAAATAAATCTTTAAAATAAAAAGTGTTCTTCTATTTATTTTTATTTTATTTTTTTTAATATTTATTTATTTATGCATACAAGAGGTAGGGTACAGGCCAAAGATGTGGGAGGTGAGAGGATTCACCAGAGGCAGAGCAGGGAACAGAACAGGCAAACTTACTGAAATACGCTGCTGAGGGGAGCAGCGGGTGAGACAGGGGAGGTCTGCTTCGCCATGTGTGTTGCTCTCTGGCTGGCCGGGGATTGAACTCATGCTGCTGAGGCTGTGGATTGCTTCATAGTGCAGTGCAGAACCCCTTGCGCCACCAGGGAGACCCAATGCTTTTAACTTTTCACCATTTAGAATGATATTAGGTAAGGGCTTGTCATATATGGCCTTTATGATGTTGAAGTATGTTCCTTGTATCCCAAGAATTTCAAGGGCCTCTATCATTTTCTGATGTTGAACCATCCTTGTGTCCCTGGAATAAATCCTACTTGGTTGTGGTGAAATATCTTATGGATACATTGTTGAATTCTGTTAGCTAAAATTTTATTGAGGATTTTTGCTTCAGTGTTCATTAGAGAGATTGGGTTATAATTTTCTTTCTGTGTGTTGTCCTTGTTTGGTTTTGGTATTTGTGTAATGTTGGCTTCATAGAACGTGTTTGGTATTGTCCCTTCCTTCTCAATTTTTTGAAAGAGTTTGTGAAGGACAGGCACTAGTTCCTTTCTGAATGTTTGGTAGAATTCATTTGTAAATCCATCAGGTCCTGGGCTTTTGTTTTGGGGGAGGGCTTTGATTACCATTTCAATTTCTCTGCTTGTAACTGGGCTGTTTAGGTGTTCTTTTTCTTCTTTATCTAGCTTTGGGTGATTATAAAGTTGAAGGAATTTGCCCATCTCTTGTAGATTGTTGAACTTTTTTGCATGTAACTCTTCATAGTAGTTTCTGATTATTCTTTTGATTTCTGCTGTGTCTGTTGTGATTTCTCCTCTTTCATTTTTGATGCTCTTTGTCTGTGTTTTCTCCTGTTTTTCCTTTGTGAGCCTGGCTAGGGGTTTGTCTATTTTATTTATTTTTTCAAAGAACCAGCTTTCAGTTTCATTGAGCTTTTGGATTTATTTTTAGTTTCTATTTTGTTTATTTCTGCTTTGATTTTTATTATTTCCTTTCTTCTACTTGTTTTAGGGTTTTTTGTTGTGTTGTTGTTGTTGTTCTTTTTCTAGTTCTTTGAGATGTGAGATTAGGTTGTTTCTTTGAGTTCTTTCTTGTTTCTTGATGTGAGCCTGTATTGCTATATATTTTCTCCTGTTGCAACTTTTGTGAGGAGTCTCCTCTCTTCTCTGTCTCTCTTAGCTCTTCCCCAAGGAAAGTCTCTGCAGTGAGGGGATGTGGTATGTCTGGGTGTGATGGAGCCACATCCATGGGCTGACATGAAGCCAGAGAAACACAGCTCATGGGGCTGAAGGGCTGAAATTTAAATGCTATCACTTTTAAATAACTTCTGTTTAAGGGGCCAGATGTGATGGAGATTAGTGTTTTGTACAACACATGCACATGACGAGCATCTCCAAATCCCCGAAGTTTTCTTTTCTGGACAGATTTCCAGACTCGTGGAGCCACAGAGGCCCAGGTCAACTGCGTGTCCTTCCCTGTGAAGAATTGTGTCTACTTCATCTCTGCCTCTCACATTGACTTGGAGCTTTACAGGAAGAGCAATGGCCCCGGCCCCGATTAACAAGAGGAAGAGGGAGGAAGCAACATGCTCCATCTGCCTGCAGCTGATGACAGAGCCTGTGAGCTTTGACTGTGGGCATAGCTTTTGCCACCAGTGCATAGAGGGCAGCATTGAGGAGCAACAAGAGAAGTCAGGGGAGCAACCAGGGACATCAGTGGAGCAACCAGAGAGGAGGAGATCAAGGTGGAGATGGGCCTCTGACTACCGTTTGCTTCGGGCATCAATGGGTGAGAAATATATGGAGTGTTTAGGTGAATACATCAGTGCAGCCCACAGGAAGTTAGAGAGTGAGAAGCTGTGTGAGGAACACGGAGAGCAGCTCCGCCTGTTCTGTGAGGACACCGGGCAGCTCATCTGCAGTGGCTGTGCACAGTCTCCCCAGCACAGTGGACATGACCATGTCCTTGCCAAAGATTTGCCTCTGCGCTCCAAGGTGAGTGAGGGCCCAATCCTGCAACAGAATGTGATCTGAGTCTGGTCTCCAAGATCTAAGGTTATTGATGCTGAAACGCAAGATTGTGATCCAGAAATAAAACTTTAATCATCTCATTCTTCGAAAAATTACTTCATGTTAATTCCCCAGCAGTCCATATGGACTTTCATAGGATGGGGAGTCTTGTCCCTGTTCTCTCCTGCTGTGATGCCCCCTGCTGGAGAATACAGTTGTCCAAACACACCGGCCTGTTTTCTCTTCACACGTGTGTAAATTAGAGAAATCACAATGTGAAGGTCATGTGACAGATTCAAAAAACAGGCACAGAGACCATTAGATTTTATTTCTCCTGCACTCTGCAAGGCTAAAGCAGTCAGCAAAAGAAAACTCCCTGGAGTTCCTTCACGTGGTTTTGTACCCCACTAATTTCGGTGTGAATCCTGGGAGCTTCCTGGAAGAGAGTCCTGATGGATACAGACAACTGTCCACATACAGGAGGAGGAGAAAGCCTCTTTTATGGTTTACTGTCTTGTTCTGGGTGCAGCATTTCCTGGCGAGGCTGAAGAGGTCCATATAGCTGTTTCTGAGGGTCAGCACATGAGGCTCAAAAAGCCGATAGTCAGAGCCTTTGGGTATGTTAGTTACCCCTTCCCCAGCCTCCGATTCTACAGCAGACATGATGGCAGCCATCCTGCCACGTGCCCTGGGAATAAGGGGTCACCTGTATCACTGCACACAGTCCTTGGGGCACTTATACTGAAAGTGTAAGGATTCAGTGATATTTCATGTCATTCTAGTATCTTGGGAGGCAGGGATTCCTCTCAGGAACCTGATGAATCTGTTGTCTTAACTACACATTCTGTCTTCACCCAATTTTGATCAGGAAAAACTCCAGGAGGCTAAGACAAAACTGAGAGACCTGAGTTGGAAGTTGAAGCCAAGAGAACAAACAACAGAATGGGAGGTAAGAAATTGAGTCTTTTCCATCTTAGAACGTAGACAGAGGGTGTGGTTGGGCAGATAATAAACTTGATGGTTTGTTGTCACCAGCCCATGAGAAATAGATGACAGCCAAGGAAATATGCATTCTTTTATGTCCCTAATGTCTATGAGAATTTGTCTGTATCTTTTCAACCTTTCAATAATGTTTAGGATACCCAGTATCTAAGCCCATAGAGATAGAATTTTGATCTTTCTTGCATACAACATCCTAGACTGGGTTTCACATTATAAATACCTCAGATTAAAGAACTGAAGTGTTCAATAACTTCATGACTTGAAGACCTCAAACATCATTTTGACACATTCACCACCGTACAGGGTTTGATTTGCCCCCCACACTGCCTCCCCCATGTTCCACAAACCATTTTTGCAAGCAGTGAGAACAGGGTCCCTCCAGGTGAGCTCAAGTCCGTGCCGCTCGTGAGGCTGATGATGAGGACAGAGTTGCTGCAGCTCCTGTGCACTGGGGGTCTCAGACTTTCCATAGCTGCCCCTCTCTTGGGAAGAGAACACAGACTTTAGCAAATATTGAGGTCATCCCTCAGTTGGCAGTTAGTGCTCTAGACTCTTTAGTCATCCTCCTCTCTCAGGGGTGTCTTCCAGCCTCTGCACTGATCCCTTGTGTGTGGGTGTTAAAGTTCACACTCAAAGGACAGTCACACGTCCCTCATGTTAGGGTGTTGGGTAGTGGAGAGAACCTCCATTGTTACAGACATGAAGGGAAACCACATCAGTGTCAGAGTTGGAGCTGCTCTCTCCTCCTCCACCAACGTTCCAGTTCATCTGGGTCAGCACCTTGACCACAATATCTCAGTCACTGCCACACTGCGTGAGCTGATAGTGTAGCCGTAGAAACTGCAGTTCTGTATCTGCCCAATTAAAGCAAGTCCCACCAGATGGGTGGTTTGCTTTCTGGTGGTTGTAAACTCACAGATGGTAAAAGGCCTCTGGCTGTGTGGATGCTTCTTTCTGGTAACTATGAGCACATTCTGCCCTCCAGACCTCCCCTCTGAGTACCGGGGAATCACCAACCAGCCTTGCTTGGTGATGTTCAGCAAAAGCCTTCCCTTCACACACTCCCTCAGGAATGGAGATTTACACATCCCTGTGCCTGGTGGGGAGCAGGTGGAAGGAGGAACAAAGGTGATGGTGTTTAGTGGGTGGGTTTCATGTGGGAAGGAACTATTTGTGCAGATGGAGAGTGGAGATGGCGGCACCACAGAGTGAAGATGATGCTGATAAAGGATATTATGACACCACCCAGTTGATTCAGCAGCAGCAAACTTATGACATTCCTCCACCTCCTAGGGCTCATGTGAAGAGTGTCTTTGTAGCTGAACAGGCTTTTCTGTGTGTGTGTCTGTTGGGGCCATAGGGGAGAGTGTTCAAATAAGCAAATCATAAAATTCCCCATGCTCCCCAACTTACCCATTGTCATTCCTGGCATCAGTGTCACACGGTGGAGCCCCCCTCTCCACTCTCCATCTGCACAAGGGGTTCTTCCTCCCAACCTGGAACTTTCCCCAGTAAACAGTGTCCCTGGGTCCCTCCTGTCACCTGCTCCCCCCATCCCATGTTCTGGGGTTTTTGGGGTTTTTTTATTTTTTATTAATTTTTTAATTTTTTACATCATTGTTCATTTTTAAACAATTTTTGCTTCCCCCCACCCCCTCAGGTGTAGTCCGCATAGAGTTTCCTTCACCAGTTCACCTGTGCACCCATCACCTTAGTCCCCTGTGCTCCTCCCTCCTCCTCCCTTGCAGGTTGTCTCTGGTTTATAATTATCTGTTTTTGCTTTGTTGTGTTTTGTGCTGTTATTGTTTTTTTACACTGATGTCTTATTTGGTTCCCCTATATTCCTGCTATAAGTGGAATATTTTTCTTTTTCCTTCTGGCTTGTTTTACTGAGCATGATGTCTTTCAGCTCCATCCACGTTGCTGCGAATGGCATGAGTTTATCTTTTTCGATTGCTGAATAATATTCCATTGTGTATATGTACCACATTTTCTTAATCCAGTCATCTATTTTGGGGCGTTGTGTTGTTTCCAGGTTTTACCTATTGTAAATAGGTGTACAGGTGTTCTTTTGAATCAATGTTTTTGTGTCCTTTGGGTAGATCCCTAGGGGTGGAATTGGCAGGTCATACGGTAGCTCCATTTTTAGTAGACTGAGGAACCTCCAGACAGCTTTCCACAATGGTCTCCCACTAGCAATGTTGGAGAGTTCCTTTTTCACCACATCCTTGCCAACATTTGTTGTTGCTTGTTTTTTTGATATGTGCCATTCTCACTGGTGTAAGGTGATGTCTCAATTCCACATTTTGGTTTTTTGTTTTTGTTTTTAATACATTTTATTTTATATAATTCTTATATCATTTTTCATTTTTGCACAATGTATGCATTTTCATTTTGGTTATATTCCCCGTACAATTCCCACCCCCCTTATTTTTACCCTGATTCCTTACCCCCCCCCGCCCCCATAGTGTGTTTCTGGTTTATAGTTGCTTGTTGATTTTTATTTTTTTCTTTATTATAATTAGTCTTTTTCCTGGTCCCTTATTTAGGTTTTCTAAATTCCTGCTATGAGTGAGACCATCCGGTATTTTTCTTTTTCTTTCTGGCTTATTTTGCATGATCCCTTCCAGCTCCATCCATGTTGCTGCAAATGGCATGAGTTTATCTTTTTTGATTGCTGAGTAATATCCCATTGTGTATATGGACCACATCTTCTTGATCCAGTCATCTATTTTTGGGCATTTGGGTTGTTTCCAGCAGTTCCACTCCTATGTATTTACCCAAAGGAACAGAAACATTGATTATAAAGGGCACTTGCACCCCTATGCTTATGTCAGCACTATTTACAATAGCTAAGCTATGGAAACAATCCACATTCTGTTTTTAAATCCTACTAGATCATGAAAATATTGTCCTTTGTGTCTGACCATAGGATCTTCCTGGCTCATCCATGTTGTAATACAGCAGCGTTTCCTGTTTTTTTAAGGTGGAAGTGTTATAGACGATTTTCATTAGGGAAGCAGGCAGCACTGACAGAGGAGAAACGAAGCTCTTTATTCATAATGGCAGGCTTCACACCAGCAATCCCAGAGGAGATCTCTCTCCAATATCTGAATCCTGAGCAACTATGTTACAGAGTATTTATTGACTAAAGCAAGGGATATATGTAGTCAGCTAGGAATGCACTTGTCAGGATGCATGTAGCCTTAAGGGCACTTAACCGATGTTCCCTGAAATTCAAAATCTACAGGCTCTGTCCCAATGTCAGCTAATCCACAGTCAGCCTAACATTTTATACTTCATTTCCCCCTTTTTAATTTTTATTCCATCATATCTATGGTGCTCACATCTCAGGGTGCAGCCTTCGAAGACAGGTTTTTTTAGGGTTCCAGTGTGTGTAAGAGAAACTACAGTCAGTCACCAGGCACTGCCCAGTGTACTGTTTTTGTTTCGTCCTCCTGGACTTTCTGACCTCCCCTCTGGTGTATGTGTGGGTTAGCACTTAGAATTTACTGTCCTTGTCTCAGAAGCCTCTTTAACTCTCCTGATGTCCCTGCCTGCACTGTCCCTGAAGCTGCCTTCTTAACCGTAACATTCCCTGGGACTCAGTACCCATTGTATAAACGGAGCCCCTCACTGCTGTTAGGACAAAGGTCGTCGATCTGACCAGTCACTGCTTCCTGCTGAAAATGGGTGATGCGGGCGAGCAGTCAGGGCTCCACTGCAGGGTGGCGAAAGGCCTGGCAGGAAGGACTGTGGAAGCATCCTGTCAGGCTCTGTAAAAAAACCATCTGAAGTCTGTTGGCTTTGAGGCTACAGGAGATGATTTTGACGAGGGTTTGAGGATGCAAGGCCCAAACAAGAAAATGATAGTGAAAAATTAGTGAGGGAACCAGCAAGAATAGCAACCAGGACAAAAGTTGGTTTCCTATAGGGGCCAAGATTGATTGTAGCCTACTAGACCCTTGTCCCACCTGTGAAGCCATTTGTAATACAGATTTCTTTTTAATAACTTTGGTTTTTCTTTTATATCATTCTAAGCATTAATGTGTCTGGCTCAGGCTAGTCATCTCTAGGTCAGTCTAAGGAGAATGGAGCAGGGCAGATTTAGTGGCCCTGATTCACCAAGAGGGTGATTTTTTTTTTTTTTTTTTTTTGCCTGACACTTTTGGGGTCACCTGAGATTTTTCTCAGCTCTGGACTTCTTTAGAAAACTTCTACTCCTGTAGCTGATTTCATAGTCAGAGACAGCTGACAGTCAAGCCTGTCCCCCCATCTTGGCCTGTGGTTTCGACTGACACTCTGGCTCTCAGGGTAGAACAGTCCCTCTTGTAGTACTCTGTGCAATAGCACTGAGGGCATGGCGTGGAGGGTGCCTTCTTCAGATACTCATGGCTGAGCTGTCCTGCTACTGGCAGTAGAAGCAGGCTGGCAGCCCATGAACGGGGTGAGGGCCTGAATGCCTTGGACGATTTGGTCCAAAGCAAGTCTGAGGTGGCAGGGGGCTGGCTGTGCCCGCTGCCATATACTAGGCCCTTCTCTTGTCCTTCTCCTTTTATTTTTCTGTTTTTCCTCAGTCTGACTGGTCTCCTCCCTGTCAATGTAGGCCTCAAGGTAATGTTTAATCTTCAGCTAATGAAATAAACCAGTAGAATCACTAGTCCTTTTAGTTTGTAGTGAGTCACTGCAGCACATACACATGTTTTTCCTAAGATCCCTCTCTCACACCTAAATATTTTCTTTGCTTTCTTACTTTCCTTTAACACTTGCTTTTGCTTTCTTTATTTTTTCTTCCTTTCTTGCAACACTACTTTTTAACACTTTCTATTGCTTTCTTAAAAATTTCCTTCCTTTCTCAGACCTACCTGCTTTTGTGTTTTTACTACTTCTTGCTTTAGCCTTTTTAACATTTTCTCAAAATTTCTTTTCCTGGGCCTCCCCTGGTGGCGCAGCAGTTGAGCGCTGGGCTGCAAGGCTGCCTGCAGCCTCTGCAGCGCCGGTTCGTTTCCTGGCCACTGGCGAGGGTCCCACCAAAAAAAAAAAAAAAAAGATTTTTCCTCCCTCTCAAACCTTCAACTCTTGCTTTTGCTTTCTTTAAACACTCTCGCTATCTTTTAGACTTTTAACACTTGCTTTTACCTTCTTACTTTTTCTGAGATCCCTCTTTCAGACCTTGAAAACATCCATACTTAATACAATTTTTTCTTTCAAACGCACATCTCACTGTACTTTCATTTAGGATTATTACATCCTCTGTTTTTAGTAAGACATTGCAATAGCCATGATACTATGATCTCTTTGAAATAGATGACTTAGATGGAAACACATGTTTTCAAAGAGAACAGTTTTCTTTTTTTACTATACGGATTCATCTCAGTCCCATGTGCACAGACCCTGATTTTCAAACTCTCCTGAAAGACGCCTTGTGATGACTGGTGCAACCAGAGTTTTTGGGCAGCCACGTGTGTGAGAACTTACTCCCTTGTTTGTGGATAGCTCATTTGCTCCAAGAGGCCTTTTTGGACCTTTTTCTAAGGCATGAGGGATCAACCTCAGAAACATTAATTGTGGGAGCTGTTCACTTTAGTTACCACTCAGTCTCACTGAAATATTTCAGTGTCACCTAACTTGCTCCACCTGCACTGGGCTCTGGGAGGATCAACTTGCTCTCCTGTTCTGGGCCCTGTGGGTGGGGATGGGATTCATCAGACCTGGGCCTCCATCAGTATCCAGGTGGAATTCACTGCTTTTTTTGTTGGATGGAGGATTTACAGAGACATCCCTCATGCCAAGCCCCATGACATGGGGATTCCCTAACTCACCTTTTGTCCTTGTGTCTTTGTAGGACATGAAAGACTCCTTGGCCACGTAAGTGCTATCCTTATTTGGAGGGAAGGGGTCTGAGTGCATAGAGCTCACGGGATGTCCTGCTGAGGAAATCTGTCCTCTGAGTCTAGGAGTTCAGTCCCAGAGTCCGTGTCTTCAGAACCTCACACAGACTGCAACAATTCTGAGCTCCACTGTGAGGAGAGGAAAAATTAAAAACCGACGAAGGTATGGAAGTCAAGAATTCTTCAGTGTTAACTACGTTGCCAACCTACCCCTGGGCAGGGTGACAGCAGACAGTTTCTTTAGTTGTTGCAGTGGAGGGTTCAGGATGCCCCAGAGCTTCCTCTGGACACAGGATACTGTGGACCTCTGGGACTCTTCAGATTCCTACACATTGATTAACTATGTCCCCCAAGTGAATCAATTCCTTGATTCCAGTTTTCCTTTTACCGGTTGTCATAAAAATTAAGTGCCTCAACCTTTTTAAGGAGTTTAGCACAGTCGCTGGTCCATAAAGTTTACTGTTCATATTTCAGTAAGTCTGACAACAATACCTACGTGTAGATGATGCAAATAATATTAGGACCTTGCGCAAATGACATTTTCAAATCCCTCATCCACAATTACAGAGTTCTAATGTTCGAAAAAGCTCAGTGTTTCCCCTGACTCATATCTCTGCTAAATTAGCCTGAAACAGAAATTATTTACTGTCTTTTTCAGTTATATGTTGCTGTTAACACTTCAGTGGCTTATAGCTAAATACACACATTTTCTGAAAGAATTGTGTGTGGGAATTCTGGGTACACCTAAGGTGGGGTCACAAAGAGCAGTTATGGTGCTGGACTGTGTGTCATCTGTTAATTCCTGTGGGGAATAATCCTCTCCCAATATTCTTCCAGTTGTTGGAAGAATTTGTTTCTTTGTGGATAAAGGGCTTGGCCCTGATTCTTATCACCTGAGAGCTGCCTCAGCTTCTGGAAGCTACCACAATAATGGTACATGGGCTTTCCACATGGCCAGTTATTTCTTTTAAGTGATCTGAGCTGAGAAGATAGTCTTTAAATTAAGTCAACTGTAGTATGGGGCCTGATGTAAGGCAACATGACCATAATGGCAACCATCTTGTCAAAGATACGTGTTTGCCATTGCTCAGAGGTAATTCTCAGGTTATGCCCACACTCACCTGGAAGGAATTTTATAAGGCTGGGACAATGAGGGGGCAGCGATCATGCAAGCGCCCTGGAGTCGCCCTCCATTGTGGTCACCCTGATCTGCACTCATATAACTGTGCTTAAAATCTTTATTACTCCTACCTGCTGCAGGACTGTGGATGTGTTGATTCAAGGCTATGGCAGACCCTGCTAGCGGTGGGCACATAGTTTAGAGGATCTGCACATTGTCATTATAACCTCAAAATATTCTGAATTTTTATATTTTGCCTCAAGGATTTCAGATAAGGATTTTGAAACTGTGTGTGTTTCCTCTCCCCTGTCTTCTCCGCCAGCAATTTTAAATAGAGTATCTCTGGTTTTGATCCAATAAAGATGCATGGAAGGGAAAAGCAGGATTGATGTAACTTGTGTTCGATTTCAATGAGTTGATTTATCTGCTGTTACCATTTACACAAGACATTACAGTATGATTCAGTGTATTTCTGAAATCAGCTTCTGTCGCCCATAAACGGATTCTTTTTCTTTAAAAGCCCTCATTATTAAGACATTTCTTACAGTAATTGTTA